CCATCTGCAAAAATGTTTGCTCAATCTTTATTCAAATTATGAAAAACTTTTTAATGTAGTTGTATTCTCTACACCGGATGGTTTAATTGCAAAGCTCAGAAAAAAATAACCACATCAAAAACATCTAACTGAGCTAAAAATTCGCTTTATCATTTCAAAATATGAAGAACTTAAAAGAAAAACTGTAGTGTCTCGGTTTGCTTACACAGTAAAAGTGCCAACTAGCACGAAACCTAGGTGGAGCAATGCTTCCAACTATCTAATACCAACAATTCACAGTGCACCGTGATGGCGAGCCACCTAGTGGCATGCTGGCCACACTGCAAACCCGATTGATAGAATTCAGTCTGCAGAAAAGATAGGAGTAGACACGCACACACACACACACACATTACACTAGTTACTGACTGGTGTCCAATCACAGTAGGAGTCCGACAAAAATTGAGTTACAGGGTCACATATCATAACGACTTCGTACAGTAGACTTATTTGAAAAGTTTTACTTTCATAAAAACATCTAGCAGTAGTGTTGCATAATATTTTGTTGCTCTAAATAGCTTGAGGTAATCAATCCAAACTCAGAGTTCTCATCATTTCAGCCTCATTGACAACATTCACAATCCCACTCCCAATCGATTATTCCTAAGAGCGAACAATAACTCCATGATTTGTGCAATGGAGGAGATTTGTAGCTCAGGTAGATGATGCTGAGTTAGTTATGTTTTCACAGGAGTTGGTTGATTTAATTGTGAAGTCATCGTCGTCATTCTACACACCACTTCAGCACAGGTTTTAGTATAAAATGAAAATTATCTCAATTCTCCATGATTGTATCTCCTGGCAACCACTATCGTGACTCGTTTTCTTCACTTTTATTGAATTCGAACTTCCTTAGATAGTTGGAGGCAACTGGTTTCGTGCAAGTTGGCACTCCCCAGTCAGCAAGGCAGATGTATCTGCAACCTTGAAAGAAACTCATGTCCCTTCTGAGATTCAAACCCGCGTCACCCAATGCCGCCAGCAGTCAGAGACGATACCACTGAATAGTGGCCACACTGCAAACCTGACTGAGAGAATATAGTCGGCACCAAAGAAAGCACTAGATACATCACATTAGTTACTAATGTGCAATGGAACTCTCTTGTAGTGTAATTTCCTTCTTATTAGCTGATAAACTTGGTCTATAGTAATGTGTGTTTTTTAATTGCTGGCTGATTCACTTGAGTATCAGGATTCCAGAAATTCCCTGGTAGTATTTTTTTCACAATTTGTCTTATATATATTCTCTCTCTATTCTGCCTCTCTCTTCAAACTCCCTTTGTTGTTTGCTGCCACTTTCTACATCTCCAGTATAGGCGTTACGCCATTCCAATTGACTGCATGTGTGCGGTGTTGAATTGATAAACAAAGCTTCAGTGATTAACCTCTCTGTCTGTCCACCTAACCATATTACTTTTTAATGCTCTCACTCTGTCCCACTCAACCTATGGTGTGATTACATGCAGGTGAGTGCAGTGAATGCAATGGCTGAGTTCCGTTTTTTTCTAGGTTATTTAACTTAGCAGGGTCAATCATCATTTTACGTCTAGCTAAAATTTTATGTTCCAGTAATCTAGTTGACCCCGATCTACTAGTTTGACTAGTGTATGTAACTGACCTCACAGTCATTACATGGTATTTGGTAAATTATATTATGCTTTTTAATTAGTCCTGTTGGGTCCTTAAGCGGAAAACGTTTCTCTGACAGTGTTGGTTGGTTTAAATGCCACCGTAATTTCAGCGTCATTGACAATCCTACGTAAAGCCTCTGATATTCCTTCTTTATACAGCAGTGCTACACAGGCTTTGAATTCTATATCATTTTCGTTATTTCCATCACTTTCTATTGTTAATCTTAGTTTTTCTATGGTTCCTCATACAATGCTGAATAAATTCTGGTGGATAGTTAGTTATTCACTAGTAATATTTCCTTTAGTTGTTTGATTTCTGGCTTACTAGTTAGGCTCTTAGCCCTATTATACAGACATTTAACTAAACCTACCTCTACCATTTCTGGATAGGATGAATTAAAGTCTGAGTATTTTGTATTAGAGTGTATGCGCCGGTTTCCTATAAATGCTATCATCACTGTGTGACTCAATTAAAATAAACTTATCTAATATGGAATTACTTGCTGACTGCCTTAATCTTTCTATTAATCTCTTCAAGATAGTTAACATTTCATCCATATCTAAATACTAGACTTTTCTAGGAATTACTTTTTACATTATCCATAATAGTTGACTGGCATTATACAAATATGCAAACATGACAAGAAATGAGCATGCATCCAAATAATTCCCATGCCTGTTTGCACCTAATCTATTCACCTATAAATGACTCTAAACATGAGTTCGATCATTAAGTGAGCTTTATGCCATAAAACTGAATGCGACGTCAAAAAGTGTGCAGATACTGCTGTTGATTGTCGAAGCTCCTCTTCATGCAGAATATGAGAATCATATAGGCTACTCTCTATACAAGTGAGTAACAAGTAAACAACAATACATGAGCTAGGCATGTGTGTCTTAAAACCACAATATTATACACCCCTAGTTTGTGACATGTAAAACGTCAAGTTCGAATGTGTGCGGGTTTTTTTCATTCCTTCACGTTCCCAGTAGAACACAGGGCTTCAAGCTAGTAACTTGGAGTTTCTGTGGCAGTGGTGTTCATTTTTTATGGAATGGGGTTGCTAGCCAGCTTCATGCCCAACCTTCCCTCTTTACCAGTTTTATTACTGGCTTAGTGAGGTAAAGGAGTGCGTCAGTGGCCAGGGATCGAACCCCGGACCACATAAGTGGTCGGCGAGCACTCTACCGCTTTGCCACCGACGCAGTGGTTACTGGAAGTAATTTTATTTACTGTGGCTTTAAGAATCTAATATACTCTCAGGTTATCTTCAATAGTTTTTCTTGGCACTAGAGTGATAAAACCAAAGGCAAAGTCTAATTATTAGAACAGACAAAAATGTAAAGGGTAACACACACAGTAACTGGAGGTAATTTGAGTACCTCTCGATGAGTGCATTGATAAAAAAACGCGGTAAATTAAATCGTGTACAACAGACGTGTTTAATCATAACTTTCAATCACAAACTGAATATATGCAGGTTGGTTTTGCTTTATCCACATTGACTGTTACGACGAATGATAGCACACTTTAGCATCTATTTACATACTTGACATTCACATCACAGTGTGATGTTTCAATGTACCGCCTACTTGGATGTCATGCTAACTAATTTGATACCTTTGGATAATGAGTAAGATTTATACGATGGTGTGTAAAGCGGATACTCCACTGAACTGATACTGTGGATACTAATCCAATCATAAATAATCCCCAACCAGACATTAGTGAGAACAAAACAAGTGGTTCAGAGAAGAAACACTTTTCGGCGAATACATTTTCTCTCTCATGAGAGAGAGAGAGAGAGCAGTAACATAATTGCAGAGAGGTAGTAGTGGCTCTATAAGCAGTGCAATAACCGAACACATCTCTTCAACACTGGTCATTCCATCTCAACAAACGCTTCCTTCATAGTGAAGTGTGACTTGCCAAAGGTAATGCGCTTTCATCTCCTTAGTATTGGCTGGAGCCTTTAAAAATTCATTCAGTTAGAAAAACCGGAGCTATACAATACGAAAGAAAACTACTCAACCATTTTTTCACCATCATGTGTTACCACAACTTTATTGATTTCTACTAACTTGATTTTGGTTCGCTTGCCTTTCTAACTCCTTATAATAACTCTTACATAATTCCATATTTTTCTTCGTTTCCATGTGTATCCTGATGATGACGACTTCTCATTCATTAAATTGTTCACCTTACTACGTAACTCTAGTAGACTTTTATTCAACTGATTCTTTTATGTACTGACTAATAAATATTAACCTAGAAGACCTGGATTTCGCGCGTGGATGATTTATGTTTGATGTCACACGAAATCGAAGATTTACAAGCGAAAACCGACAAACTGGTCAAAGAAGCAGCAAAGACAGGACTCCAGGTGAACATAGACAAGACGGAGGTTACGAAAATAACCAACCAACAGCAACAACAGCAGCAGCAACATCCAGCGCCAATCACCATCAACGGGAGGGATTTGAAAGAGATTACTTCATTCAATTACCTAGGGAGCATTGTATCAACTACAGGCAGGTGGAACGGACGAGGATGTCAAATCGAGAATCGGAAAGGCGAGAAACACATTCATCAACCTGAAACCAATCTGGAAATCTTCGTCACTCAACTCAGCATCAACAACAAAATTCGGATTTTCAATACAAACGTCAAGTCACTCAGTTTTGCTATACGGATCAGAAACTTGGTGGGTCACCAAGAATATTTCCAACAGCCTGTTGCAGACCTTTATCAACAACTGTCTTCGCTCTATACTGAAGATCAGATGGCCGGAAAGAATCACCAACAAGAAACTATGGGAACAAACAAAACAAGAATCAATCGCTCAACAAATATGGAGGAGAAAGTGGAGATGGATTGGACACTCGCTGAGTGACATCGTGCGTCAGGCCATTGCTCGAGTGGAACCCGAAAGGGAGGCGGTGAATGGGACGTCCAAGGGTGACATGGAGGAGATCGTATGAAGAGGAGTTGAAACAGTATGGATTAACGTGGATGCAGGTGAAAAATACAGCAGAAGACAGAAGCAAGTGGAGACGTGTAGTTGAAGCCCTATGTTCCACTAGGGAACAATAATAATAATAGTAAGTTTTTGTGGCAACTCATCACTTCTGCTACTATCCTTTTCCATGTGAGAAAAAGCACTTGTATATAAATGCAACTGTAAGAGGTAAAGAGGAAAATAAAAATTCTCCAAAGCAAGCCTTTTTGTTGAGCTACGTGTGTTTTGACATTAATAAAATTTTTAAGAGAGAAAACAGTAAAACAGTGTAGCATGTTTACGATTGCATTTCGGTAACACACACACTTACCACTGGTCCTTTAGAACATCAAGGCATATCACACCAGTAGCACTACTAATATTAGGATGCCAAATCTTGGTGATAAACTGAACCTAAGGGAAAGAAACAATAACTAGTTGGAGTAGTAGTAAAATGAAATTACCTTTGGAGGAACAAATGGATAGTTTTCAGGAATTACAATATCTAATTTGAAATCTGCACCAGCGTATGGCGTGTCCGGTGGACCTTTGATACGACCATGTAAGTGCATCATATCATTACTGCTGGGTTCTATTTCTAATTGATTTTGAGCAGCCTAAAATTATAAATGCATGAATTTTAAAAGAATCAAAAATGTGATGAAGAACAGTTAATTGCAATAACAACAACAACAAAAATACGGAGACATCTGCCATGTTAGATGAAATAGTCTCCAAAAATCATTTGATTATAAGTGACTGAGAAATTAACACATAGAATTGAGTACAGATATGAATATCAGTCTTAGTATAATACCACTTAGGAAAAAAGCACATACAACTGAAGACGAAAGAAACACAATGATACTACAGCAATAGTAAAAACATAAGTTTGGTCGACTAATTAAGGTATAATAATTGCTTCTTTTTACGAGGGTTGATAATGCAGACATGATCGGGGGGTTTACGCACGTGTATTCGAGCAACGAGCAACAATCCTACACCTTTCTTTTTCAACGACAACCTATGACAGAGTTTTTTAACTATATCACATCGTTGAATTGTAGTTAATGCCCACAAAATGAGACAGTGTCCGTCTTCCTTACGCATTTAAGTTAGTGATTACCAGGTATAGATAGTTATTTAAGCTACATTGCAAATGACGAATGCCGTCAACAGTTCATCGATACAACACCACGGTAGTTGTGTGAGTGGCGGCGCAGGGGTGATGGATGAGATTTCCAACTGTATCATGAAGGCTAGGGTGGCATACGTCAAATTGAGCCACATCTGGCTTCGGTACGAGCTGTTTTGCTCTACGCCCATGAAACCTGGCCTTTCCAAGCTGAAGATGTGCGGCGGCTCTGCGTATTCGATCATGACTGTCTCCACAGGATTGCTTACGTTCGATGGCATCATCGCGTGAGTAATTCTGAGGTTCGACGGTGTGTGTTTGAACACAGTGATCACCACTGGTTGAGTATCGTCAGCAGGTTCGGTATGTGCTACGAATGTCATCACAGGGGCTTCCGTACAGGTCTCTGTTCGCTGGCCCTGGGAAGGGATGAAAAAAACGAAGAGGGAGTTAGCCCATGACGTGCTGTCGTGGGATGAAGGATACTTGTGTTAGGTTAGCGTCGGTTGGTGCGTCACAACCCCCCCCCCCCGAGAGGTAGATCGAAACGTTATCGGATATGGCCAAGAATCATAATCAATGGCGAATGTGCTGCAATTTTCTTCTTTCTTCCCTTTCCGATGATGGTTGACGAATACTGTTTGAACTTGTTAATTATGGCTGCTTCCCTTTAAGATGAAGTTCTTTTTCCGTTCTCTACTTATATTTTTACTTTTAATCTATGTTGTTTTATTATTGTGTGGCGCATCTTCTTGGTGCCATATTGTACCAAGTTTTTTGAGTTCAAATAAATAAAAGCCAAAGACACATAGGTAAAATACCTTTGTGACTGGTTAAACTTGAGCATAAATATTATCTCTTAACACCAACTTTCAATAAAAAAATCTTTCATTTTATCCAAACTAGTCAGTGATTTCAAAAACTGACTAAATTTCAACGTGTAGAACTTTGCACAGGAGTGCACCAGTTCAAATTATCACACAAAGAAAAAATTAGGGAAAACAAGATTTCTAGCCATTGGTTCTTAGCATTCCGAGGACCCTAAGCAAGCAGCCTACACTTCCCTGCATAGCTCAAACTGACTGTCAAAGATATCATGGACTGGTGTCACGTCTAACCTGATGTTATATCGACTAAAATGTCCAGTCTGGGAAGGTGATGGCTGGACATGAGCAACATATATCTTCATCGATTGACTTCCTCTCTTTTAACCCAACCCTACGCCTAACCTGGATACTACTCACCATATGTGGTCAGATGACTATGTCTGATGACCATAAAGAAGGATAGATGGAAGTGTTGCGCGCCATACATGTCATTTGATTGACAGCCGGATATCACATCTATATTAGAAATGACGTAGGTCGGCAAACGCCACATAGGCCGTTTGTATTCGTGCTGAAATTTCATCGGTAATCAGTTTTGCGGGAGTGATGCAACTTCCCCAATAAGCAAAGTGGTCAACACGCTTTACCACTTCACTCCCTACCTTAAAGATAGGAGTCAGTGCAATCCAGTCCTGTAGCATCATCTTAAATTCAACAGAAGTGGACAGCATGGCAAACACGAAGATTCCTGCTTAAGGTACTATCAGAGTGTTCACCTATAAGGACTACATCATCCTCATACTCTAAGTCAACAAGACTGTTCACTGGTAACAAGTCAGTCCCTAAGTCTCTGAAGTCAGTCAGAGTCAATTCCATTACTACGTCTACGATGAAATTAGACAGAAATGAAGACAGTAGAAATCTCTGACGGATACCACTGATTGTCATCACTTCAGTTGACAACTATCCATAAACTCTTGTCTAGGATACTACAAAAGGGCAACGATAACTACAGTATTCCCTAAATAAAGAAAGATGAATAAAAAAACTTTTGTGTCAACCGAAGCGTGTCAAAGAGTGTATAGTTCCAGCCTGAAAATATTCGGAAAGATTTCTCCTCGGGGTGTTGATATAAAAGATTAATTTCGCGTGACAGTAAAATGAAGGTTGTCTGAAGCAAGTCACACGAACAATACTAGTAACGTGGTAAATTGATTAGTATACAGATGTATACTTCACTAAATTGCAGATTTGCGTACAAATATAAAAGTTATCTTCAACAGACACTCGCGAGGTATAAGATATGCTAAACGCAGATGACAATATGAATCACCGAGAGGCATTATTGTGCGGCAACAGAGGGGAGTAGAATAGTGTCACATGTGTATACTTCTACTGTTTTTAATATGAAATTATCCCCTGAGTAAGACAGATACATACACCAAAACAAACTTGAGCAAAACGGGAGCAATTTACGTTGACAACTTTCAACTGCACTTTGAAACTTATGCCACTTATTAACATGGTAAACTTTAATTTCTTTTTAGCATACTACACCTTTAGTCATCACTGCTTGTTCAGAGAAGCAACAATTTCATACCTATGACAAAATCCGGTGACTATAAATAGCAGGAAAGAGAAAACTATATAAACTAGACACTTTAACCGAATCTTTATCTAAAATTCATTGACAAGAATATCAGACCCAAAGTTCAGGAAAACCAAATATTATTTGCACCGAAAAAGGAACTACATGAACTTTGATTTCAATGGAAACTCAACTTGCTACATGATTAAAAGAATTTCATTATCTTTTAGAAGAACATTCTTCATACCAACGCCAAGAGTAGTGTTCTCCAGTCGTCCATTGGTTTGCAGAGGCCTTAAGGGCAACATCTTACATTTAACTACTTCTATGTGCACGTTTCAGTTCACCAGCTCTTGTGGAGCCAAGTATATTGGTCGTTAGATGCGTGTCCTATCTAAAAAGGATCAAGAATACTATGCTGCATGGTTTCCAAAAAGTAGCATCGACTATGTAAGGAATGTGATAATTCAACCCTTTTACGACACTGCTCACTCTACCTTAATAAACTTCTCCTCCAAAGTAATCTACAGATTGAAGAGCAACCTTTGAAGACAATACTCTTTCGACTCCTCTACATTGCTGAAGCGCTATCCATTCAGTTATAAAAACCGGAGCTCTGCACTCTGAAGAACATTACTCAACCAATTCTATTATTTTGGCAACAACCTTGATTTTGTTTTCTGCCATCTTGGTTCTTGTTTGTTTTTCAACTCTTTCTAAGTCCTCTGTTTCTTCCCAACTTTAGCACAGTATCATACTCACCCTGGTTTCTTTGTGCATCCCGATTACAACTCATTAAATTATCTTATTATGGAACTCCAACACTTATTCAAATCCTCGTATGCGTTGATTAACGTTAGGAACTATGATTAGGACGATTTATCACTTTTGTTGCTATCTTCTTTATATACAGCTAAAGAAAATGAATTTTCCGAAGAAAGCCTCTTAACTGAAACACTTGTTCTTTTATTAGTGATTGAAAATGAATCGTCGAGTTACGAATTATCGACTCAGCAAGAGTTTCAAGCACATTAGTGCAATTTCGTGAGTAATAGAACCGAGGAAGTGGGACATGTCCGCCCATTGTCTACAGTAAAGCCAGTTTCTGAAAATCTGCTGAATTTACGATTCATTTGCGATTACGTGACGAGGAAATATATGTATCTACTCACCATTTGCTTTACTTTGCAGATGCCAGTAAGCTCAAAACTTTTGAAATCATCAAAATTAACGTACAAGTTCGCACAGTGCCCAATATGTCTGTGGTGGGCCCAAAGCAAGTGATAACTGGAGGTCCATGTCACAAGAACCAGATAATTTTTAAGTACGCACGATAAACCGATAGATGTGATAATTTTACTTATCTTTTAAAACTGTAGCTCTCCTCTTGGTAACTCTAAGCTAAAGCAACCCAAACGAAAGACCAAAGTAAAGGGATGTAATGATCTTGACTAACCAGTCAGATGAGATAATGGAAAAATGACATAAAAAGACAGCTGCAGTTCATAAGTTACGTTGCAAATTCCATCAAGCGGTAGTATTTGAGCACCGTCAAGACAATAGCCTTATGGGAAGCTTGCAGATGTGGAGTGGTGCCTTAACAGAAGTATGCAGTTGTTGGTGGTGGATACGTGGACAGAAGTCCAATCTGTCGACACAGAATATCCGTCCAGAAAGACATGTAGTTTCTTTTTTAAGTTAATGGGTAATGTAGAGTAGTGAATGGGTCATAAAACAGCTCATATGAGCCAGTAGTATATATAACTGGCCCATTTACTCAAGTATTTTATTTAGGTTGCTACAGTTTAGAGTTACCAAGAAAGCACTTACTTCGTCTGACTTCATTAGTTCCGCTAGTTCTTTCTGAATTCGCTTCCCAGCTATGCTTGCCATACTGATACAATGGTAACCACGCCCGATGTAGCGCACAAATCTCCAGCAAGCGCAATTCCAATGTTCAATGTCCTTCTTCCGAGATATTGTGCTGGACTTATCCGGCATGTTGGTTGAAATTTCGCTCGGCAAATTTTTTTTGTCAATAATTTTTAATAAAATTTTGTTCTATGTTTTCTGGATTGATAGGAATTCTCATTTCCTGGCTAGTTATGTTGGTGTCCGCGTCATTTAATCTGGCTGCGACACACTTAGCATATTGGTTGTAATGATTAGTGTTTCATGCTGAATGCGTCAAAACATCTCTACAATAAAGAAGATGGGGTAGTTGGGGGGTAATGTCATCTACACAAATAGTTTATTTCTTGTAGAAGCTGCAGCTTTCGACATAGTGTCATTCAATGAAGACTACGTCAAAATGTGGCTATTTTCGTGGGAAGAACAGTACTATTTTACAAAAGAATGCTATCAGTACATGGTAATCACCTATAAATGCCAACAGAACGTAAAACCAATGTGTAAACGAACGGCTACGGAACTGCAATCCAACATAACCGACTAACATGGACGAAAATGACCTTTGAGCGTCTCACTCCATCAATGACCTTGAGCATGCGGGATAATTTCAGCCAGATATTGTAGTCAAATTAATTTATTTAAGCTCGCTTCTTGGTTATAAGGTAGATATTCGTGGTTTTAAGTAAATCTCTGCATATTTTGTCCTCTCAACAGCTTATCTTAGCCTCGGTTGACTCCTATTAATGTGGATATTTGTTTAGCGTGGTCGGTCGTATGTGCTGTGCTTAGACTATGCTGTAGATGAAGTTAATTCTCTCACGAGTTATTCGTCTGGTGTGGTTGAGAAGTGAGAAGATAATAACATGAATAATGCGGATTATGTTAACCCAAACCACGAACAAGCAGATAGATCGACAGTGAAATTTAATCATTAAAAATTAGGTGGATGAATAAGTAGAATAGACAGAAGAGTGAAGCATCCACACCATTTGGTGTCCTGTCGTTTTACGTTCTGTTGTTCGTGCACGATCCCCAGCTAGTTAAGCAGAGTCCGTTGCACTACTATTTCGGTCCCAAAATATACATCGTATTTTAGACGATCAATTTGATGTTTTGCTTTGTCTTTGGTCTACGCAGAATAAATACCACAGAAGTTGTGGATATAAGATCTCGAATACGAATAATTCGTACTATCCGTGGACGCCAACATCCTCAGCCCCTTAAGTTTTTACGTTGACGAATAGTTCTCCGGACTGCACCTGAAGCTTACCATTGAACTTCCAATAGGCACGACTGCTGGTAAATGTTCCAGAGACCACAAACTGGAAGCGAAATAAATCGGAGCAAACTTGGCTACTTGCCTTCTGATGTACCATCCTTCATGGGAACCCACGGGAGGGTTCGCAGTGGCTCATCGGCACAATGACTCATCCTGAGTGATTCTGATCGTGTAAAATACCAGTCAGGACATTAAGGAGAAAAGAACAATATACCTTTGCTGAGGTTTTGTTTACTTCTGTCTAATGAATGATTCTGGTTATATGTAATACTTAAAGCAGTAATTGTGCCACCCCTTAGCCGCCTGTATCTGGGCATGAAAAGTATCCTTACGCTTTATCTCCTGGTTAACTATGATACATCTCATAAAGCTAATGATTTACACGAAAAGCATGCCAAATGTACGGGTACGATGATACACGATATAATTTCAAATCGTGCAATGTCGATAAATTAGTACAATTGTGAAGTATTATAAATTACTGCTTTATCAAAAGTTTAAACTGTTCAGTAATGGTACAGGCGATCAGAACAGGTTCTTACAAATGTTAAATTGTAAACCCTTCACCATCAAAGTTGAGCGACAACCCAAACTTCCTACCGTTTCATGCTGATAGTTATGGTCAACCAGTGAACCACGTATATTCAAGTAAATGCTATGTCACCATGTTGTTAAAAGCTATTTCAGGAAGAGAAGAACGTACTGGGAGACAGAGCAGTAAATGTCCAGTTAAACATACAAAAAGGTATTATTACAGCAATATGTAATTTTCAGTCCATTTGCGGCCAGAAAACAGAATAATAGTGAATTAATTCTTATAAAATGACAATTGGAGCATGTGGGAGCTGGAAATTATCTTCACGCTAGTCTTAAACAAAATACAACTAATTCATGGTGTGGGATGTGATGAAATACAATCTACATGCATGGAAAAATGTAGCATATGAGCGACAGATTGATTTTTCTTAGAGAAAAAAAGGGTAGGTCGCGTTGGTCATTTTATGTAAGGTAAGTGTGAAGGTGTTCTGGGAATCTCACGGTTCGTCCAGAGCGCTTATACTTCCGAGTTTCGATAGAAGGTTCGGTTGCCTCTGCCGTTCTGTTTGTTTCTTCGAGGTCCAACGGGTATCCAGTCAGCAGTGTATTATTCAGAACGCTTAGTTCGAGGCTCATGGGATTACCCTCCAAGTAGACCGTTTTCAGACGATCGATGCAAACGAAGTCTTCACAGTCGTTTCTGTCTAGGACAAAGAATTCACCCATGCGTTTGATGACTTCTTACGGCTCATCCCATTGGGGCTGCAGAGAGTGATGCACAAAGTCACAACGACCAAATACATGTGTAAAGTTTTGAGGCATGAGCGGACGAAGACGCCCTTGGACTGTGATCGGGGGGAGCAGTTTTAACTGAACGCACTGCGTTTGTGAGCCTGCTGACGTACGAGGCGTGGCTCAAAGCTGGTGAGAAGCTAGAGGGAAAACAAACTCATCTGGTATTTGTAGTGTTATGCCAAATACTAGCTTAGCAGCAGTACAAAAAGCATCAGTTTTCAAGGTTCTTCGTATTCCTGGGAGAACGAACAGTGGTGACTTATTTATTTTTATTTTATTTTTGTTTGCAGCTTGATGCCACACTGTATTTTCAGTACAGGTATGGAATTTTCAGAACGGATATCAGTGGCCCAAATTTTGCAGGTCGACCATAGATATCGAGTGAGCGTCGGCAGGGGATCGAACTCCGTCCCATGTGCATGGTCGGCGAGAGTCCTAACCACTGTGCCACCGACCTAGTCCAATGTACAGTGTTCGCGGCTGATAATCCAGTCTTCAGCTGTCAGTGTAAAATTGAAGATGGTAGGCCTTGTTCTAGGACATATAAAACTAATAATAACCCGCTTTCAATTTGTTGCCCGCAACCACTTCTTGTGGGGGATGGGCATCCAAAATTTGCGATCCATCGTTCCACAAAGACATATGCGGCTGTTCCACCAGACATCCCTGAGGGACACTTCTTCGGGCCACCGTGCGAGGTGGCCAATGGAGGTCAAGATATAAGTACGTCTATGAAATTCTGGGAGGGGTCCAGCATGATCTATATGAACATGTTCTAAAGGAGCATCAGGGACGAGAAGGGCTCCAAGAGGACTCCTGGTGTTCCTTACTACTTTTCACTCTTGGCAAGCTAAGCACCTTTGAGTCCATTCCATTACTTTTTCATCAATTACAGACCAACAAAACAGACTAGTGATGAGCTTGACGGTAGTTAAAATACCTGGATGAGACAAGCCATGCAAAGTGTTGAAGACGTTACGGCGATAACTGTCGGGCACAACGAGGTGGGGAGTACTCCGAGAAATGTCACAAAAAACAATGTTTCTACCTGTGTCCAATGATTTCTGAGCTAATTGCAGAGTTGTTATCGATAACTCATGTTGAAGCCAGCTTTCTTCTTTTTAAAGAGGGGCTAATTTCACAATGTCTACAACACCAATTTGGATGAAAGAACGAATGCGCGATAAAGCACTTGCCACAGTGTTGTTCATTCCGGATGCATGGCGAATATCCGATGTAAACTGTAAGACACAATGGAGTTTTCATGATTCCCCTGGTGAATACCTACCTGAAGTTGAATTCAGACAGTGAGTAAGGGGTTTGTGGTCAGTGAAACTTATGAATTCGCGACCCTCCACTGAAAGTCGAAAGTGGTGTGTAGCGCAGTACGCAGCCAGAAGTTCTCTGCCAAATCTGCTTCACTTCGTTTCTGCCAGCTGAAGGCATCTCGAGAAAAAGATGAGTGGTCGCCACTAATTGTTGACTAGTTGTTGCAGTGCTGCGCCGACTGCAGTGCTAGGTGTATCAACTGATATACTTCATGGTGTTGCTTTCCCCCGGTACATAAGTAGAGTGGCGTCCATGATAACCTATTTAACCTGAACGAGAGCATTTTTAGCGGATGCATCAAATTCAATGAACTTGTTGTCCCTTCGAAGGTCTGTTAGTGGTTAAATCAGGGAGGAACAGCGGAAATAAAGCGTCGGCAATAACTTGCCGAGCCATTAAAAGTACGTAAATTCCTCACCATACTTGGCTCCGAAGTTCAAAATTGCCTCGACTTCACTGGTCACTGAGCAGATACTCTTTCAGTCGATGATGTGGCCGAGAAAGTTCAGTGATTCTACTCCTATTTGACATACCTGAATATTAATGGCAACATTATGTCGGCATTACCTTTCAGATGCTAAGTCCGAGTATCTAAGGTGAGCTTCCTTGTCTGAACTTGCAATGAGGCAGGATAGCGAAATACTTCGTCAATGAGTCACTGGGATTTTTGAGCTGCATTCTGGAGGCCGAATGGCATACGTAGAAATTCAGACACTGTGAGAGGCGTGATTATAGCCGTTTTCAGAACATCATCTGGTACCATCGGGATTCGGTTGCATGCATGCTATTTTCGAAAAAATAGTTACACCAGATAGTGTTGCCATTAGGTTGTGTATATGAGGCAATGGATAGCAATCAGGGGTCGTTTTGGCGTTCAGCCGCTGGTAATCACTGGTGAGTCGCCAGCCGTTGCTATCCTCTTTCGGTATTATATGGAGTGGGGATCCTCATGAGCTATTCGACAGCCCAATGATACCAAGGGTGAGCAAATGGTCAACCTCATTTCTCTCCAATCACAGTTCGTCAGGAGCAAGTATTCGTAATTTTTTATGTCATGGGTTGTACTGAGGTTGTGATGTGACTCATGACATTGCTGGTTATTCACGG